TTCCTCCTGTCTCACCCTCAGCTGTGGCCACGCTCTGAGGTGCCTCCCTGAGCTGGAGCTGAGGGTTCCATCGTGATTTGAGAAACCCCAACCTCCAGGAAGCAGTGGAAGCTCTGCTTCTGGAATTTCAGAGCGTCGGGCTGACCTACCCTCAGCTGACCAGGGTTTTCTAATGGTTTCCCTGGGATTTAGGTTGGAGCCAGAGCTGTGTTAGACTTGGTTCTGTTGCGGAAAGATAGGCCCCCATCCCTGACGAGCCGAAGTGAAACTCAGAGAAGCTCTTAGAGCACAGGAGAAAAGTGGCAGCTTTATGACTTTGCCGAGCAAAGGGGGCTTACAGCAGGCTGGTGCCTTCAACACTGTGAGCCCCCTTTGGGGATGGGGTGGGTGGTTATACAGCCACGGCTCAAACAATAAAACATCGGTGACAGTCAAGAGAGTCATTTTCTTGTCATAAGACTGAGAGGGGCGTCATGATGTCCCCAGGCGACCAGTTTGATCTGCTGAGATCGTTTTCGATCTCTTTATCTCGTAAGCACCCACAGCGTGGTCTTTCTGGTAATTTAGCTTTACTTTGTAAGGTTACAGTTCCACGACCTTCTCCCAGGAGAACGACTCAAAAACCAAGCATGATTATTACTGTCAATTACCAGAATAAAGTAGAAACAGTAAAATTAATAGCTTTAGTTCTAGCCTGGAGCTGTGAGTAGCAACCAGTCAGTCAGGTTAGTTGACCGTTTTAAGGGCAAGCATAAAAGTAAGCCATCTGTTAGCCTAAGTGTGGCCATTTTATTAATTTCCCTTCAGATCCACCTCTAATGTTGCGCCTTCCCTGTCCTGTCTGGTACTGGAGAGGCACGGTGCTGGGTCATAATTTGATCAGTGATAAAGAGCAGACCAATAGTAAACACAAAATAGTCTCCAAGGCTTATTTAACGTGTAGCAAGAGAAATAAACTGGCTATAAGAGGTGTTTCTCAAGTTTGTCAGCTATTAAAACAGTGACGTAGGTGGCCAAGGGAAGCTTAGCATTTCTTAGAGGCTCATTATCTGTAAAATGATAAAAAAAAAAAGAAATTATAATTCAGATTCTATTCATTTGGCCCTGGTGTAATGTACATGGGGAATGGTGGAGATTCGCTCTGTGAAGAAAATGTTTTCTTCATGACAAATATATAACAAGGTAACAGGAGAAATGTTACGTGTTTAAGGAGGCAGAGTTTAAATTACTGGTATTTTTTACAAATGATTTATCTGGTCATCATGAAGCTACCCTTTACCCAGGCTGAGATATGAGTATCTTGAAAGAGTTGGTGGTATTTTTAAGAAGCACCTAGATCATACCACCCACTGATCCAAACTGCCTGTGTGTCTGTGTGTGTGCCTTCCTCCCTGTCCTGTGCCTCTGTCCTCGTTAGCTGGTGTCAGTGAGATTTGCTGACTCCACTGGGTAGTGATGGTTGGAGATGGTATTAATTAAAGAGGACAGAATGGAGCAGATGCCTCTGATTCTACAAACATGAAGAAAGGGAGTGAGACCCCATGACGCAGCATGGGCGTGATCTGGTACCTCCTGGTTCCAGAGGCTAGTGCCCCCTGAGATCCTCCTTTGCATTTACCTGGGGTCAGAAATCCTATTCACATTGACAAAAACCAACGAGTAATGGCTGTGTTAAGCCGTGTGCTAGGAGCTGTCACTGTAACTCTAGGTCAGAAGCCAAAGTCTATTTGAGTTAGCCCTAAAACGGAAAGTTCTATTTTTATATTATTGGGAGAAAACCCTTTACTGCTGGACTGTGTGAGGGAGTGGTGACGCCTGCCCACCCCCTTCTCCCTCTCAGGTAAAAAGGGAGTGTACCTGACTGATATAACACCTCAGGGCGTGGCTATGAGAGCTGGAGTCCTGGCTGATGACCACGTGATGGAAGTGAATGGCGAGAATGTAGAAGACGCCAGCCACGAGGAGGTGGTTGAAAAGGTACGTCCCAAAGGAGGGCCCTTCTTACTTGTCTTTCAGTCCACTAACTGGGAGCGACAGGAAGCCCGGAGCGGTGGTTTTTGATGGGAGGAGCACAGTAGTGGAGTTAACCCTTTGTATTAAGAGTGAACAGACTCACCAGCGGTGTAAGCAGTGTTTTTCTTTAACTGAAGTATGGTTGATTTACAATGTTATGTGAGTTCCAGGTGTACAGCAAAGTGATTCAATTATACATATACATACATGTATAAATATATTCTTTTTCAGATTCTTTTCCATTATAGGTTATTATAAGATTGAATATAGTTTCCTGGGCTATAAGGTAGGTCCTTGTTGTTTATCTATTTTTTGGTGGCGGCGGGGGGGCAGGTAATTAGGTTTATGTATTTTAGAGGAGGTCCTGGGAATTGAACCCAGGACCTTGTGCGTGCTAAGCATGCGCTCCACCACTTGAGCTATAACCCCTCCTTGTTTACCTATTTTATATGCAGTAGTATGTGTATATGTTAATCCCAAACTCCTAATTTATCCTTCCCCTCACCCCTTTCCCCTTTGGTAACCATAGTTTGTTTTCTATGTCTGTGTCTATTTCTGGCTTGTAAATAAGTTATTTGTATCATCTTTTTTTCAGCTTCCACATATAAGTAATATTATATGGTATTTGTCTTTCTCTGGCTTCACTTAATTTTTAGGTTCATCCATGTTGCTGCAAATGGCATTATTTCATTTGTATAGCTGAGTAATATTCCATTGTATGTGTGTGTATATATATATGTATGAACTATATATATGTGCATGTATATATATACACATACACACACCACACGTATTTATTCACTTGTCGATGGACATTTAGGTTGCTTCCATGTCTTGGCTAGTGTAAATAGTGCTGTGTGAAGTAAGCAGTGTTAATACAGGTTTTGGAATAGTCTTTGCTAGTTTTATGTTGTCATGAAGAAAGTGTTTTAAAAAACCATTATCTTTTGGGTCTTATCTGTAACTGATTGGACTCCCCCTCTGAGTTTATAATAAATTGATTGTTGTGCCAATGCTACTAAACTGTTCTAATACAAGCTGGAAGATAATCAGTGTGGTGATGAATGTCCAGCTACACATGGGGAGCGATGGAAGACCTTTTAGACCCCAATACTTATGTCTCAGAGTGGTTCTATGAGACACGGAAGGCACTCTGAGGTTTCCCTTCGAGGTCATGTGGAACCTTGAAAACTGACCAGCTTTCCCTTCTCCTGGTAGGAGGATCTTTCAGATAGATCTTTACTTTCATTTCTGTTCCAGTTTTCACCCAAGTGCCTTTCTGGGTTTTTTTTTTTTTAATTTTGGGGCAGGGGTAGTTATGTTTACTTACTTACTTAGTTTTAGAGGAGGTGCTGGGGATTGAACCCAGGACCTTGTGTGTGCTAAGCATGTGCTCTGCCCCTTGAGCTCTTCCCTCCCCCCACCCTTCTGGGTTCTCTGAGTTCCAGCTCTCATCTTGGGTTCAGTTAGCGTCTGTGTGGGTGACGCCATACTTAACAAAGGGAGACGGCAACTGTAGAAGGGAAGATAGATACGAGGTGGTGGCGGAGACAGCAGTGCGGCTTACACTCAGGCCTACGGCCCGAACGTCCTGTTGCATCCAGACCGTGCCTCTGGGTGGAAACTTTCCCGTTTCCCAGCATCCCTCTTGGAGGTTGATGTTGGTCCTCACCTGTGCGTGCTGTTGCAGGTGAAGAAGTCCGGAAGCCGCGTCATGTTCCTGCTGGTGGACAAGGAAACTGACAAGCGCCACAGTGAGCAGAAGATAAAATTCAAGAGAGAAACAGCCAGTTTGAAACTGCTGCCCCACCAGCCCCGGGTTGTGGACATGAAGAGGGGACGCAATGGCTATGGTTTCTACCTGAGGGCAGGCCCAGAAGAGAAGGGTAAGGCACTAGAAGAGAGAAAGCTTGGCGAGGCAACCATCCAATTCTTCGTCCCAGTCTGACTTCAGAGTCCCAGCAGGCCCCCAGCTCCCCATCAGATCCATGATGGAGACAGTGAGAAACTAAAAGGCAGAGCTGGGCCAGTTTCTGTGTCATATGGCGGCCTGATGTTGGGCGTTCCTAGGTTTCCAGAAGCATAAGGCGGCAGAATTTGGGATCTGGACAGTGGTATGCTGGTAAATTGGCTCTCTGGGGGAGGGGGAGCCCTGATTTGTAGCATGTGTGTGTGTGTGTGTGTGTGTGTGTAGTATAAATACCCCCCATCTCTGATTTCAAGTTACCCACATGCTGTAATAGGATGCAAAGTTGAGAAGTACTGTGTAGGCCTGGTTCTCATGAGCTCATAGGAACCAGCTCCAACACACCACTAGGTCTGAGGCAGAGGTGTGGACTGGGGTCTGGGACTTGAATAGAACCAGGAGTCTTCCTGAGACCTTGTAATTCAACAAGGAAAGAACTCAGGTCCTTCCATGGAAGCAGAATACAGAAAACAATGTAGGTTCAGGCCATGCAAACTGTTACCCACCCAGAGGTTGCTGTTTTCTTTTCATTATATATATATTTCTGTTAATTTATGAACTATTAATTTGGTTCGTAATATGTAGAAACATCCTTGAGGCCTTTGAGAATATCAAATGAATCAGACAAAAATTCTCTAGTCAAGGAGCTTCCAGTTTAGCAGAGAAGACAGGACATGTGTGCCTATGACCGAAGCTAGACGGTCAGAAGCACCGTCACACAGAGGCAAACAAAATACTGGGGAAGTTCAAGGTTGGAGCAAGTTTTTCTCACTAAAAAGGTCCTGGAAGTCCTCATAGTGAAGGTAGCACCTGAGCGCAGGCTTTGTAATGGGAATAGAATGGACGCCCTGGGGTGCCAGTGGGAAGGGCAGTAGTTGTACTCAGCATGCCTTTTATATGTATTTTACAGGGGTCTTAGGCTCCAGCAGAAGTCTCACAGCTTGTTTATTAGTGGCCTTTCTGATTATTTATTTATTTGGGGGTAGGTCAAATCGTCAAGGACATAGACTCTGGAAGCCCGGCGGAAGAGGCTGGCTTGAAGAACAATGACCTGGTAGTTGCTGTCAATGGCGAGTCTGTGGAGTCCCTTGATCATGACAGTGTGGTGGAAATGATTAGAAAGGGTGGAGATCAGACTTCACTGTTGGTGGTAGACAAAGAGACGGACAACATGTATAAACTGGTAAGTAATACAAGGCCATATATTCATGAATTAAGGTTGGAGTCATTCCCTCAGGCCCTCAAACTCTGGCTAAGTTACCACTTCGATTTTCAAACTGGAAAGGGCATAACAATCATCACTAAGGCTGCACTGAAGCTCAGACTGGTAGACACAGGAGAATGCCAAGTGATTAGTACATGAGTTTTAAGTCTTTAGATTCAAGACTTTAAAAGAATTTGCCAGTATAATTGCAGAATTTCTCTTGGTGATCTAAGAAAATCTATGAACAGTAGCCTGGAAATAAGCAGGTGTAGCCGTGACTTCTTCCCACACAGGGAACGACTGGATTTTAAAGTCTAGACCAGTAAGTCCTATTAATCCCAAGTCAAAGCCTAGGAAGGGCTACGAAACGGCTTACAAGCCCTTAGCAAGGGAGTAAACAGATTCACCGAGACAAAGCTGTGTCAAAATACCTTACTGCCTCTTAACTCTTAAAAACAGCTATTGTCTGCATATTTTAAAGTTTTTATAACAGTTTTATCACAAGAACTGAGGTTCATGCTAACTTAGCAGACATTCTGGGGACCTTCTAAAGTACCCTTTGCCTTGCCAGGTGTTGGTCACAAAAATGAACAAAGATGAACTTGTTCTATGTGATACACTATAAAAGAAGCATCCAAAGGTATCGAAATGATACAGAGGGAGGAATATTATGGGTGGTGGTGGTGGTGGTGGTGGTGACCCCTTTTGTAGATGAGAAGACGGAAGCTTAGAGAGACCGAATGATTGGCTCAAGTCACCCAGTTTCGTAAAGACTGAAGCCACTATTTGAATCCACGTTTTAATGCATCCCTCTCAGCACTGCACTTCGACTAAATATTTTAAGACATTTGTGTAAAGTAGATTAAAGAATGAACTGGATGATGGAAAAACTGACGGGTTTTTAGCTAGTTGAACAACCGTGTCTAAAGCATCCTTGATACTGGAACAATGTCAGCCTGAAAGGACATCTCCCACGGCAGGCTGCCTGTTCCTGCCCTGAGCTACTTTATCATTAGATGTGGACAGAGATATGGAGGATGCGCTTAGCATACTTAAGTCACACAGATGACAATGTGCTGATGGATAATTTACTAGAGACTATAATTTATATTCAAAATATCCAGTCAGGATAGAAAGGAGAATAAAAACTAATAAGCTTAAGTTTAAACAGGAATAAATTTCAAGTACCGTGTTAGCTTAAAAGTAAATTGTACGAATATCAAATGGTGAGACCTGATTTGATGACTTTAGAAAAAGCAGAAACTTGGTGATACTCTAAATAGCACCCAAGAAAGGCAATTTAAGGTTGCATTAGTTGGCACTTGGCTTTTGGAGATAATAGTACTACTGTACTGAGTTGGTCAGACTATACTTGAAATTGCTGGCAGTGTAATCTTGGGCCACTCACCCTCCCTGACCCTGTTTCCTTTGCTGTAAGATGGGGGTAGCTACTGTGAAGGGTGGCCGTGAGTGTTAAATGAGGTAATATTTAGAGCACTTAGAATAAATCCCTGGCACATATAAATGTTATTGTTTAAATATAATTTTATTTTTTATATTGAAGTATAGTTGATTTACAATGTTGTGTCAGTTTCAGGTGTATAACAAAATGATTTAGTTGTACATACATATATATGTATTTCAGATCCTTTTCCATTATAGGTGATTACAACATATTGAATATACTTCCTTGTGCTATACAGTAGGTCCCTGTTGTTTGTCTACTTTATCTGTCTACAAAATTGAATCACTTTGGGGTACACCTGAAACTAACGCCACGTCGTAAATCAACTATACTTCAATTAAAAAAAGACACTATGGGAATACTTAGCTTGAATAAGCATAGACTTTGGGGAAGAGAGAATATTTTCAAGACTTTGAAAGGCTAAATGGTAACTATGTGAGGTGATGGATGTGTTAACTTGATTGTGGTAATCATTTCACAATGTATATCAAATCATTATGTTGTACACTCTGAATATATACAGTTTTGTCAGTTACTCTTCATTAAAGCTGAGAAAATATATGAAGCAAAAATTGACAAAACTGAAAACAGAGATACAGTTATACAATAGTTGAAGACTTCAATATCCCATTCTCAATAATGGGTAGCACAACCAGACAGGAGACAGGGGAGGAACCAGAGAACTTGAACGGCACAGGCCCGCTAGCCCCGACAGACAGACACAGACACAGAGCACTCTAGCCAACAACAAAACACACAGTCTTCTCAAGGGCACACGGGATAGTCTCTAGGAAAGACTGTACGTTAGGCTGCAAACTAAGTCACAGTAGCCAAAAGATGGAAACCACCCAGGTGTCCACTGACAGATGAATGGGTGAAAAAACTGGCGTATGTATGAAATCAAAAAAAAATTTGTTTTGGTGGAGGAGGTAATTAGGTTTATCTGTTTTTAGAGGCGGCACTGCGGATTGAACCCAGGACACACTTACACGTGGTTACATGTTTATACTCATTACTCCATAACCAAGCTCAGTCTTCCTTTAGACCTGTCCTGTTTTGGGTAGTAGAGAATTTGACAGCCCATAATCACACGTATCTGAAGGAGAAGTGGAACGTGCAGTACTTTGTAAACTAAAACAGCTCATTTAATTAAGTGTAACTACTCATACTTACAATTAATGTTTTTCCCTTTATTTTCAAAAGGCTCGCTTTTCTCCATTTCTCTATTATCAAAGTCCAGAACTGCCTAACGGTTCTGTCACGGAGGCTCCCGCTCCCGCTCCCGCTCCTCTAGCTGCCCCTCCGGAGGCCTCAAGCCCAGACACTGCAGAGGAAGCAGGCGACCATAAGCCCAAACTCTGCAGGCTGGTGAAAGGTGAAGATGGTTATGGCTTTCACTTAAATGCGATTCAGGGTCGGCCAGGCTCATTCGTCAAAGAGGTATGGCGATGTGGTTCCAGCAGCCCACGAACACAGCCACGATCAGGAGGGTCTCACTCGGGCTCACATAAATGCTGTTATGGTCCCGTGCCCTTTAAGATAGCCACTGGTACATCCTAAGCTCACACCTTTTGTTTCTTAAACATCTGCTCCACCTAATTGAATTGTCTCTTTAGATACTTTGAAATCAGATGAACAGAATGAGTGGCATGACTGCAGTTGACAGTCACCGTCAGCTCTGACAGGGAGTGACACTTGTTTGTTTCTGTGCACTGAGCATAATGCCCCTGCCCTGTAGGGGTCGACAGAAGACTCTCTCCATAGCTCTCAAGTTGGGAGTGAAGGAGGGGGACCTATAAAATCGCATGTCTTCAACCCGTAAGACAGACAGTGGAAGTCAGCCGCTGTGACACTGCTCGTTTGAGTACGGAAGTTGTAGCTTTCGTAAGCAAAAAAGCATGGGAGCACACCCCCAACTTCCGCACCTCAAGGAGCAGTAACATAATTAAGAGTAGGTTCTCCAACTCCCCATCTTGCCTCTGAAGAAAAGCTAGGCTAACATGCTTTTATCGTGTTTGAAAGCCCTAACTCAGAAGCTCTGTTCACAGGTGCAGAAGGGC